CTAGTTACAAGTACTAATTTTTACACTCGCTTTTGCGTTCTCCGTAACGAATTTAGCACAATTTGATTTATTACTGTTTGTTTTTTGATGATCGTACTATGGTTAATTTGTCTTACTTTTGGATTAGGTTTTTGTCAAATGTTTTATTGATGTAATGAATTATAATAGCCTGCCATAAACCATGTTGTCGATAGATTTACTTCTTCAGTCCAATTGTCAAACATATTGGGGGGGAGTACGTAAATGAGTAACTAGAAGTCAGTTCAACTAGATAAATTGATTGAACTGAACTATTATTGATTGTATTGCTCGATTTGATGTCAGTCAATATGAGAGAGGTATAATCTAAAACCAATGGGGTATTTGACTTTGAAATCGCACATTTAATCTATATGACATCATACTTCAGAAGTTCTCAAACTTGTTTCGTTTAATTTAATTTAAACATGCCTAGTGTGTCATAATAATAATTGTCGAAATGTAGTGTTACAAGCGAATGATGAGGATGCCGTGGATAGAGAAGGTTAGAAATGAAGAGATATTAGAAAGAATAGGAGAACAGAGGACTCTACGGAAGTCAATAAGAAATAGGCGAGGTAGATTGACAAAAGACACCTTCTCAGGGATGAAGGTCTAGTCAGAGACATATTAGAGGCAGAAATGGGAGTTAGGAGGGGTAGAGGTAGACCTAGATTCGATTACTGTTCGCAAATACTTAAGGATGTGGGATGTTCTAGTTTAGACCATTGCTTAGCATTCGGGAGGACGCCGGTTCGATTCCGGGTCCGTCTGCCTTGATCCAAATTTTTATGTGGTTTCCTTGGATCACTTAGGCAAGTGCTGGGGCAGTAATATTCCACAGATAATCTTTCATTCTCTTCTGTCTTCATTTCGTCCGTTTCATTTTCCTCACCCGAACCACCACCCACCCATTCCCACGATTCCTGAAAGCAGACTGAAGAGGGCCTTCCGGCGTAGTCCTGAGGGACTGCCCGCCCACCAGTAATACTAGCTGGTGGGAACCACCCACCCATTCCCACGATTCCTGAAAGCAGACTGAAGAGGGCCTTCCGGCGTAGTCCTGAGGGACTGCCCGCCCACCAGTAATACTAGCTGGTGGGAATGAAACACCCAAAAATTTTTTTTCCAGTTGTAGGGAAATGCGAAGATCGGCTCAGGATAGAAAAGAGTGGAGGTGCGTGTTGAACCAGTCTTAGGACAGGCGACTTTATGATGATGAATCATATCCTTTTTCTAAGTTAAAAATTGCATTTTAAATAGATTCCAGTCTCTTTACCGCCCCCCTGTAAGTATCTAGCGCCGACAAGGTGACGTTATCCCATTTCCAGAAATGCTGTTATACACTGTTATTACACTGAATGGTTTTTAATAATAATCATCCAGTGACGTTTCTTTAAATGATATGCATGTATGCGATGGATCCGCGTTTGCAACATATTAGTTATAATTAAATTTTACAGACGTAATAAGAAGGCTCAGCTTGAGTGCTAATGAAAATTTGTTGAATACGTAGTGACTTGAGTAGCAAGTTTTCATATTTCGTTTCGCTTAGTCATTCGCGGTTCCTGACTGGCTCCTGGAGCAGTAATAAAAGTTCATAAATGTAGTAGTAGTGTATGTTCATAAACGTGCTGTCTTCAGAATTGCAACATTGCAACCGTCGAGAAGACTGCGAGCCATTCAATGTTACCTACTTTATTAATCGTAATAAAGCGACAATTTTAATAAAGTGACGAAAGCGCTGCCAACACGGAGATTTGCATTCGTGCTCCACTTGATCGCAGTTTTCTGAATCGCGACGCAATTAGGTAAAGATGATGGAATGAGGAAATATCTACCGTACTTATGGAAAATTTCCCAGCGAAATTGGCTGACTGATTCATTTTATTTGCACACATTCTTCTCATTCTTTGCTAATATAATTCTTCTTTTCGCTTCTTGACTCGTTATAGCTACAGCATATCTGACACAGTACAAAAGAAATACTTCTTAAAAATTTTTTAAGTCGAAAAGAAGGAGGAGAGAAATAACGGATACGTTCATGGTTTATTAGAAACATATTAAAAGCAGAAACAGGACTTAAGGAACTAGACTAGATTGATATTCACAAATAGTTATTAAGGATGTAGAATATTCTAGCTTTCGGAGAATGCGAAAGAAGAAGTGGAGGAGGTAGATATCTAACAATGAACAATTTTTCAACGCTGAATCCAAATTCACCATCCAATGCTCTTCTAAATCTAAAACGTTTCAATTCCTATGTAAGTTGTTCAAGGTAAAAACGGTGCACTTTTAACAAGGCATAGTCCAGCGGGGTTGCATCGGAACCGTTCTGTATTCATGTTTATTTGGGAATGTATATTAAAAATCGCATCCATGAACTCCTTAGTGTTCTTGACTTGGTGCTGAGTATTGATGAAGAGTGAAATTACAATTTGGATACAGACGGTGGACATCTCAGGCTAAAATTTTTTCAATACATTATTGATTTAAAATTCTGAGTTGATTTTGGCACCAGCATCTACAAAATGAAAACTTTTTGTGCTATTAAAAGAGATGTAAACCCATACCATAAAGCCTTTGGAGTGATTTTCTCGTATTTGAAACACTTCAAGTTTTGGGTTCTTCTGTTCGTGGCTCACATAATGGAATCATTATTTACAATTGCAGTTATTCATGTAAAACCAAGCTTCGTCTGTTGTGATGAAATTCCTCCACTTTTGGTTGTTCATCATTTTAATGACAAAGACCTTCATCGGCGGTCTTCAATATTCTTTGCACTGAATAGATGAACGGAGATATCTTCCAAAATGGAGTTGAGATTCCAAACACATATTACATTCCATTTTTAAACGTCACTTGCTACATATTAAACTTCAAAGTGATGTGTAATGTTGAATTAGAAATGGGATCTGATACTTACGTGTCCGACACCTTTTTGTGGTTCCCTGTTCCTTTTTGATTAAAATTGTCTACTACAATTTATATATTTGTTGTTTAGTTTTAATTCGCCTCACCTATTGCTTGTTATGCATTCGAATTTAAACATCGTCATCATCCTAATTAAATTAATAAATAAGCATAGGCTTTCACTGCCGGCGTCCTCAGTAATTATTATTATTAATTATTATTTGCTTTCGGGCTTTCTGTCCGTTGTGTAGATTAAATTATATGTTTAAGCATTGTATCTTAGTCTGAGATTATTGACTCCCACAGTATCATTTTGAAGATAGCAAAGTAGAGAAACAGTGGAATGACCTGGAATCATCTGGATTGTTTTAAGCACTAGGCTCTTTTCGTGTACTGTTAATGAGTTAAAACTTTAAGGAGTTGAAATTAATATTTAAGAGAAGAATTATCTGTACCTGCTGCAGTAGGAAATATATTTAGCTCTCCACTTAGTCTGATAAGATGGCGAGTGAATTTTTCCTTTGTATTCTCAGGAAAGTTCAAAGGATCATTCACGTTTTAGGTGCCCATGTATATCTACGTTTGTTAATTTTTACTTTAATCGTTCTGTGTGACTATACCCTAACTCTAGAAAGGAAGTTTTATTTTTTTATATATAATTATATTCAGTTCAGCCATTTGTTTCAATCTAATGCAAAAGAGATTAATCCGTATTTATTGTAACAACGAGGGGATTAGTGCGTCCCTCATTTCTTAAGCTACGTTTCCACTAGAGAAGCATGGAGGAACTTTTGTGATTCTGTTGCTTGTTTCTCAAAATGTTTCACAAACTTCCTAAAAGTTTATCTATGTTTCGGTAACAAAAGGCGATGGTTTGTACTTGTCGCAAACTTCAAAAGAAAATCGGAAACATGGAGAAACAAGTATTACTACCGCGTTGGAAACAGATAATGCTATTTAATTGCTTAGTTGTGTCAATTGTCCAGTCTGGTTGTTGGTTTTTTTACTGTGCCAGCAGAACGATCATGTTAATCCATAAATCATACCCTTCTATTTTTAATGGCGTAAATTAACCAAGTGTTTGTGCTTTTTTTCATTTTTTTTAAAGATGTTACTAAGTATGTCGCTGGTAACTGTACTTCCTCATCGATCTCAATGTTTCCGCCTACTGTTCACAGTTGCAACACGAACATGAGCAGTATGGGAGTATTGACAGCTGTAACTGCTTGAATGGACTCAAGAAATTTTCATATGACGCCCAAAAGTTTCTACTCATTGTAACAATGGGGAACATAAGACAATAAAAAACTCATCAGTGTTTCTCCGGTGGATACATAGCTTGATATGAGCAGTATCAAAACAAGCAATTAATTGTCTTCAATAATTTTATATTCCGTGCCACAATCTGTCTTTAAGTTTTGTATTTTTCGTATTTCGACCGAAATCTGGCAGTATTTTCCCTTTAACTGTCTGTATACTTCATTTACTTTCTCTAGCGATGTGCCCCTTCCAATGTCTTGGATGCGCGCTGGCAAAATCGTAGGTAGGGAGAATACAGCTCATTATACTCTCGACTCTTGTTCATTAAACATACTTTTTCATACAGTACCTGTTAAAAGTTTTGTATAATACTTGTTCTCTCCAATCTTGTACTTTTATTTACTGGAGTTTCATCCAAACAAGGCCAGATCCAAATCTTGTTTGTGACAGTACTGAAATAATAGGATCTTCTAATATTGGAAGACATACACTTTAAGAAAGCTTATAAATCTTAAAACGCAGAACGCCAGGAGAATTTAATTATTGTATGATTTGGCCATACGAAGTTCAATACGCTGTTCATCTACTTTAAATCGACTGTTAATGAAGTTTGCACGCACATGATTTTTTCCGCCTTTCTAAATTTGTTATGCCGTCAATTATTTCTTAAAATAGCGGTTTGTGTAGTTTTAAACAAAACTATTATGCGACTAAAACGAATGATCATCTTCACCTTCAACCCCCATATCCTAAATCATGATCTAACCTTAACATTCACTAAATTAATTCTTTCTTTTTTGTTGCAGGTAGTGCGGTTTGCTTTTATTAGTGCGAGTAAGTGATTCGTTTCGTCCCATGATGGCCACCAGCAAATATCGAGGGGATGCTTCACTGGTGACGTTTTTCCAATTTTGGTTGTTTACCATCGCCTTCTTCGTCGCTCCTGCACAAGGTGAGTTAGTGAGTGAGTCATCGATGTTTACAGAATCCGTCGTTTTCTCCACGCACCGCACGTGGCCTGAGGGTTTGTGGGGTGGTTGCGACGTGGTCAGACTATTGCTTCTCCGCTTCGGTTGTATAATGTTTGCTCTTTGCCATTGCATCGGCCTCGCGGGTATCTGACAGCAAACACGGTCACACTGTCTGCATATTACCTATGTAGAGCATATCATATCGCGTAATGGCCAGCTTGATACATATGAACATGTATTATGCATACATGTACCAACACGTACAGACATATATAGGTACTGTTGATTACACATGCAAATTACTTGGTTACCTAGATATATCACACTCCACCTAATTGATAATCTAATTTTGAAGATCGGAAGAATTTGCATTAATAATTGTATAGCGACAACTAATTGCTGTTCTTATGTAATTAGTCTGGTGTGACGCTGTTGTGACCAAATATGGGGTCTGAAGGTTTAAGGGTAAGGAATGTTCAAAATAATGATTCAAATGAAGAAAAATCACTGTAGTGCTGGAAATTATTGAAAAAATAAGTAGAGCCGGAAGTAGAGCTTCAATGAGACGTTTCTTGATTCCATGATAAGTTGACGAATATTTATTTGACTAATTCGGTTAATTCTTGACGATTGAGGCGTTGATTCCTATTAATTCCACGACGCTTATTATAAATTTTTCCAATATCATAATGAATGTGATATTCGAATTAGTCAGAATCGGGAATTATATGTCTTCGAATAGAAAAACGCCCATGGGGACACTAAGGAGGGACACCACCACCATTAGGACAAATTTGCATTAGAATAATTTTACTTCTTTGGAAACTCAGTAAATAAAAGTTACATATTTATTCGAATAAACTTTCGAAGATCGGAAGAATTTGCATTCATAATTGTAGTGACAAATTGCTGCCTTAAGAGTAAAGGTTCTGAGTACTGACGACTCTAAGATGATAATGAAAATTCCGTGTATATATTTGAAATAAACACCATATGCTGATTTGGAAGGTAATTTATTTTGGGATATATATATATGAAGATTTAGCATATTGATATTATAAGTAGTCACTTGTTTCGTTAAATCTGGATAGTATTCATTTTAATGTGTAAACGGATAAAAACGATAATGGTGCTCAGTATTCTGTTGAAACCTTCAAACGTGGATCTCATTAGCGCTTTGTAGACAATTCCAACAGATTACAGACCCCCTCTACCTGTTGCCTTAAGACAGCGGTCTTATGAATTACTACAAAAATCATAGTAAACGCCATCTATAAGGCCCATAAGGATAGAGTGCGTCAGTATTCTGTCGAAACTATAAACGACTTACTGATGAAATCCAATGCAACGGAAATTGCGGATCCATGTTTAAAGGTTTCGATAGAATACTGTCCACCATGAACTTTTTGATCTGATGTCTACCACGTAATAGTAGCTATGCTGTGGATTGAGTTGGACATGTCGATATTCTTTCATATNATAATCTTCTACTTTTTGCACATCATATACAGTTTTACCCATTTGGAATCAAGTGCATTTAGTAACTAGTATATATTTTGGGATTTTTCGATGACGTATGGCAGTTGAGCGCTGAATTCCGCTGGTGTTAAGTATATTTAACAATATAACTATCAGAAAAGTCATAAAACCGATGTTTTTCATATAATATTATCCAGTTACGAGAGGGGTAGGTATTTCCGCCTAAAAAAATTTGCCCCATTGCGTTTAGCGAAGGTGAATCCTCATTTCCACTCGGGAATGTTAACGCAACCACATGGCAATTTTCACGCACATTTAGAACGGCCATTAACATTAATTAAAAAGCACACTGTAATTGTTTTGAGCAGAAAATGAGGAGACTACACCCCTGTATAGGAGGTACGACGACTTGATTCTCCATCACATTCACAGCGAGGAGATTAACGCTACGATGGGAAGCATTAGGGCGGTTTTGCACCGTTTATACTTAACTTTTTAACGAAGAGAGATGTACGACTAAGAACATTAAGGATATGAATCATCCTTATCCCATACATGCGAAATGAAATGCGTATATAATATCTCACGTTTGTTGTTACATAATATTATTTGTATAATTGGCGTAAAAGGCATTTTTCCAGATGTGGATAACGTACTGCTTGCCTAGGAGCACGTATCACTTTTCGCGTTACATTACTATGGCGCGGTAAACGCCATCTGTAGTACGATGCTACATTTTAGGATTACGTATGCTCCAACAAGGTTCACCTAAATATATGGCTAACTACTTGCTGAAACGAATCCCGGCGTAGCCTCAACGTGATAGGCACGTACAGCAAGTAGATATCCATATATTTAAATGGACCTTGTTGGAGCATACGTAATCCTAAAATGTAGCATGGTACCACAGATGGCGTTTACCGCGCCATTTGTGGTATCCGCGCCGAAGAGATTACCATAATAACAAATATAATATCCCGCGCGCTCAATCTCAGACCAATATTTTTTGTTTATGTTGGCAATGTGGGCTGAATTCGGAATTGAGGTATGAAACATCGTCTCTGTTGCCGTCTTGGATTGTTCGGATCGATCAACTGCGACTAAAGTGTGTATACATTTTTTTGAAGCACCCTGTATATTTCATCGTCGGCATTTTTTTTTACATTGCACTAGCCAAGTTTAACGTCTATCTGAAGATATTTCCTGGTCACACTTATGTGACTTTATTATTTATATGAATGGATAGCTGTATTTGTAGGAATTTTCCCATATCACGTCGTATAGGCTTCGCTCGCATTGATGTTCTTTTCTGATTTTCATATAAAAGTATTTAACAATTGAAAATAATAATTATTAGTAGTGTATATTTCATGAGCAAGTAACGTATGATGTGTGCAGTAAAGGCATGTTCATTTGGATTTACCAAACTCTTTTAGTCAGTTGAGAGGCCGAGTTAATATGCCAAACGACCATATACAACTCATTTCAAACGGATAGATATATGCCTCTTTCCGTTACCTAGATTTGCCTTAACCAAAATTCAAGCTGTGTCTCTTTTGCTCACGCCTAGTATGTATTCATTGTACTCGTGCCGGTTTCCTCAAGGACATATCTCTAATGGTTTGATATGAGTTGTAAAGCTAATTTTTCTATACCTCGGGAAAAGTACTTTTTTTTTTTTAATAAAAGGTACCCTATGTCCTTTTTTATTTCTCTAACAATGTGTGCACAAAATTTTATGATGATCGATTGAGTAGGTGGTTAACGCGTCATTATCATAAGGTCGTCAGTCTTAAGAATAGTTGGACACACACCTCCACTCCTTCCCATCCTGAGTTAATTTTGCATTTACCTAAAACTATTAGAATATCTCACATCTTTAACTATGTAATCTAAGTCTACCTCTACTCTTCTTACCTCCTGTTTCTGCCTGTAATATATTTCTGACTAGACCTTCATGCCTGAGAATGTGTCCAACCAACCTATCTCGCCTATTTTTATTGACTTCCATGGAGTCCTCTATTCTCCTATTCTTTCTAATACCTCTTCATTTCTAACCTTCTCTATCCACAGTATCCTCATCATTCGCCGGTAACACCACATTTCGAACACTTCTAACATTTTATTTTTCGCCGCGCCCACTGTCCATGTTTCGCACCCGTACATACATCTTTAACAATCCTTTTCGAATTTATAAATTAATCGTTCACAAGCATAGAAGTAACTTCATCTTATTGAAGGCGACTCGACCCTGCGCTATCCTCTGCTTTATATCCCCCTACTACTCCTTTATCTTTATATTCGCTCTTTTCTTACATTTCCTTTCCTTGCATACCAGTATTTTTGTTTTACTGTTATTTATTTTCATACAATAGTTTTCAGTCAACTCGTTAAATCGTAATTAACAAACAAAGTCGCATTCAGATTTATAATTAGTTAGGATTGTANCCCTTCCAATGTCTTGGATGCGCGCTGGCAAAATCGTAGGTAGGGAGAAAAAAGCTCATTATACTTTCGACTCTTGTTCATTAAACATACTTTTTCATACAGTACCTGCCAAAAGTTTTGTTCAATCATGAACAATAGTGCGAGTAGAAAACAAGCCTTAAAGCCTTTAATATGTCTTCAAATATAAATAAACATCTCGTTCATATTTTCAGTAGTAAATGGTACCAATAACAGCACATTTGAGCAATGCAATTGTAGTGGATAAAATGGTCAATTTTTCCGTGCAGTACTGTACGGGTAAGTGTTTGACCTAGAGTTGTCTCGTTTCTCTTCTGGCCTAGTGCTATTCTTTTCTACTTTGCACCGGTCAAACTGAAGGTTACATCTCTACAGAAACTAAACGAAATATACCTTCTCTTTACAAATGGATTAAAGTTCTTAATGAACAATTCCTTTCTGCTCAGAAGGCTGTTACTTCCATCACTGGGTTCTTTTACCATCATCATCATCATCACAAGGTCGTCAGTCCTAAGACTAGTTGGACACGTACCTCCACTCTTTCCTATCCTGAGCTAATCTTTCAGTTCAGCCATTTGTTTCAATCTAATGCAAANTCCATCACTGGGTTCTTTTACCATCATCATCATCATCACAAGGTCGTCAGTCCTAAGACTAGTTGGACACGTACCTCCACTCTTTCCTATCCTGAGCTAATCTTCGTATTTTCCTATAACTAGAACAACCCACATCCTTAACTATTTGTGAACAGTAATCTTATCTAGGTCTACATCTGCTCCTCATAAGAACTCCTGTTCCTGCCTTTAATATGTCTCTGACTAGACTTTCATTCCTGAAAAGGTATCGTTATACCTACCTATCTCACCTATTTCTTATTGACTTCTATAGAATCCTCTGATCTCCTATTGTTTCTAACACCTCTTTATTTCTAACCTTCTCTATCCACGGTATCGATCCTCATCCTCATCTTTGCATGTAACACCACATATCGAACGCTTCTAAGCTTTTATTTTCTTTTTCGCCATGCCCACTTCGC